GTTGGTAAGTTGCCCCGGCATTTTTCAGTCCGAAGGGTATTACGTTGTAGTAATAGTTGCCTGAGCTGGTCATGAATGTCGTGCAGTGTTTGTCGCCCAGGGCCATCGGGATTTGGTTATATCCCGAGTAGGCGTCCAAGAACGACAACGTTTTGTAGCCGACCGAGTTGTCGACCAGCATGTCTATGTTAGGCAAAGGAAAAGCATCTTTCGGGCAAGCCCGGTTGAGATCGGTATAATCAACGCACATCCTCCATTTTCCATTATTCTTTTTAACGAGTACAACATTTGACAACCAGGTGGAGTACCGGGCTTCAGAAATAAAATTTGCCTCTAGGAGGTCTTTTACAGCTTTCTCAGCAGCCTCCGTTTTTTATGGAGACTGCCTACGCCTACGTTGTACTACGGCCCTAGCGGCTGGATCAATGGCGAGGTGGTGACAGGCGACCTCAGGGTCGAGTCCGGGCATCTCCGCGGCGCTCCAGGCAAACAGATCAGCATTCTCGCGCAAGCAGGCCTTGATTTGTTTCCTTGCCAGGTCGGGGAGATCTTTGCCAATCTTTACTCCCTTGGTCGGGTCGGCGCCGAGGTGGACGAGCTCGAAATCCCCATCCGGTATTGGGCGGAGTGGAGCTTGCTCGCCGCTGGGAGGTTCGTCTTGGTCGAAACGAGTGTCCAGCGATATTGAGTCAACCTTTGGTGGAGCTCTCTGGACTTCTTCCTTTGGGGACTCTTGCTTGTCGGGTTCCTGTCGCGTCCTTTTGGCGGGCCTGGTCCCTATGTCGATAGTATCACGTCCCTTAGAAGCGGCGTTGAAGCACCTCCGGGCAGCGGCTAGGTCTCCTTAGATAGTAGCTACTCGTGCCCTCTTGGTGTAGAACTTCATCTTCAGGTGGACGGTCGAGGGCACCACTGTCAGCTCTGCCAGTGTTGGTCTCCCCAGGATGCAGTTGTACAGAGACGGGCAGTCGATGACGAGGAAGCATACTTTGACTTGTCTTGTAGATGTCCCTTCGCCGAACGTAACCAGAAGCTCGACATATCCCCAAGGCTTTGAGGTCGAGTCGTTGAAACCTTGTAAGTCCGAACCCACATATGGCGAGAGATGTGAGTCGTCCAGCTGAAGGGTTCGGAATAGTTGGTTGTACATGACGTCGACGGAACTCCCTTCGTCGACTAGGATGCGATGTACATCAAAATTGGCCATTCTTGCCCTTATCAGTAAGGGGATGACCGCGTTCGGGGCTCCGCCGGGGAGTTCTTCCAGGTAGAAGGTGATGGGCTCTGACCTGCCCTTCACCCTTTCGAACGTCACTGTTTGCGGGGGAGCCGCGTCGACCAGCTCGTCCAGCTTCCTCTTGGCTGAATTGATGGTCAAGTCGTTGAACCCGCCGCCGTTGATGACCAGGGCGGAGGGGAAGTATTCCCACCTGCTGTGCGTTGTAAGCGGCTCCTGCAGGTGCTCAGGGAAGTCGAATTCCTCGGGCCTGGTTACGGAGAAGGCAGTTTGGATAGGGACCGACTCGTCAGATGGTCGGGAATCCTCCTCCAGTTCTCTAGTTTCTTGGGCGTCACGACAGGGAGCGTCGCTTCGCCGGTACTGTGCGAGCCTCCCTCCCTTGATGAGGGTTTCAATGGCGTCCTTGAGGTGGACACAATCCTCAGTCAGGTGACCATGGCTCCTATGGTACTGACAATATTTGTTTTTGTCTGCTCCGGGCTTGGCGGGAGCAGGTCGGGGACGTTTGACACCGCCGTCCTTGAAATCAGTGTTGGCGCACTCCGCCAGAATGCGCTCGCGGGAAGCTGTGAGCGGAGTGTACTCGGTGAAACGCCCCGAAGGTCCTCTTTGTTCCCGGACTTCCCGGGGTCTGTCTTCCTTCCTTTTCTCCCCGGTTCGTCGAGGAGGAGCTTCTTGGCGCGAGCTGCTGTTGGGACCACGAGTCCTGGAATCTCGGGCTCTGTTGGCCGCTTCCCTCTCCTTATAGTCCATGTATGCTCGGGCTTTTTCGAGGAGGGCATCAAATGTCCGAGGTGGCTCGATGCCCACGGCCTTTCTGAATTCCGTGCCGGGGAGGAGCCCTCTCTCTAGCAAATATCTCTTCATATGGCCCGCACAGGGGACCTGTATGGCTTCCCGGTTGAAGCGATTGATGAATTCTCTCAAGGTTTCATCCTGTCTTTGGATGATGGCTTCGAGAGCCGCCTCGGTCTTCGGATGGCGCCGAGAAGCTGTGAAGGAACTGATGAACTAGTTCTTCAGGTTCCGCCACGAGGTGATTGAGCCCGGGGCGAGTCCTTTCTACCAGTCCATTGCCGCCTTCCTGAGAGTCGTGGGGAATAGAAGACACTTGATGGGGCCCCCGACATTGTGATAATGAAGCATAGCCTCGAACCCGTCTATGTGGTAGACCGGGTCTGCGACTCCATCGTATTCCTTTAAGTGTGGGGGCTTCTCCATGCCCGGGGGGATGGGTGCTTCCATAATAGCCTGCGACAGGGGACCGCGGGGGTCGTCCTCGTCGCTTCTCTCCGGAGACAGAGATAGGGACCTGTAATACTGCCTGGCACGACGGTCCAGGTCGTGGTGAGTCTCTCTCGAGCGGGATGCTCAGGGGTTGAATTTTACACGTCCGTCTCCGGAGTGCCTTCTTTCTTGTCTCGCCGGGTCACGACTAGGTTCTTCGGCCTGAATGATGGGCTGCCTTTCCAGATGAGGCAGTTTCTGTTTTAGCCGGGGAGATTGGCTTCGAGAGGTCTCCCTATAATGTCTCTGCGGGGGAGATGGGTGTCGAGCTTCAGTCACTCGAGGAGGGGGAGTATGGGGTCTCCGATGCCTCCTCGGGGGTCTTCGCTCGTCTTCAAGCGCCTTTAGTCTCTCTCCTTGGGCGAAGATGAGATAGTTCGTTTGATTAATCGCTGCGAACAACGCTTGTGTTGTGGCATCCGCCCCGGAGGGGACGGGGACTTCCTGGAACCGGGCAGCTCGGTAGTGTGCGAGGGCCGCTGGGTCGTCTTCGAGTGGTGGAGGGACCGAGGAAGATGATGCAGTAGCTCCGTCTCGAAAGGTGGAACTTCCGGGAGCAGTAGTCGCAGGAATGGTGTTATGGTCGGGGTTGCCGGTGTTATCAAGATGTCCGTTTTTGTCCGCGGTGCCGTTGTTGGTGTCGGCGACGCGGATGTTCTGCTCATCTCGAGCTTGATCAGCCATGACAGTGGTAGTTGAATTTGAGCTTTGGTCTTTGAGTTTGCAAGACGGGGAAGCTAGATTCCCACAGACGGCGCCACTGATCTAACCTGATCAGACTTGGACCGTCACGGCTGGCTCCGAGCTGAAGTTTTGAACGAGGTGGGGGGGGGTACCTGCAAGGCACTCCGATGCTGAAGTGAGTAAGAGTACGAGCAGGCAAAGTGTGAGTATATGTGATAGAATGAATACCTGACCCTCTGGAAACAGAGGGTATTTATAGCCCCCAGCGTTGGGCCAAGGTTCCTTCATTGGGTCGGGCAGGTTTGGCCCAATGGAGGAACTGCCAGGTTCTACGTGCGTAGTGGGGACCCGCACGTGGTCCCCTTCCTGGATGTTCTGCGTGAAGTGCGGGCGGACAGGGACGCGGTCTTTTCGGAGTCCCGTTGAGAGTGCAGTGGGCCGTGTCCGCTGTCGAAGGAGCGCTCGAGCTGAGGTCGAGCTGGACAGTACGAGGGTGGGGTGTCGCCCAGTGACGTATGTCGGGCATAGCCATGGTCCTTAGGTCGGCGTGACCCCTAGCAAGTCCGTTTGGATTGGGCCTTTATCGTTGCTCTTGGGCCAGCCCGACCCAGTCCAGAACATTTTCCTTATAAACTAACCAGAGAATTTCATAATGCTCTAGTGTTGTCCGAGTCGAGTTGGAGTCTTTAGAAAGAGCTATAAAATAAGACATTTGCTGAATTACCAGGGTCGATCAACACTCACTTCATATCCCAATTATCATATTGAACCGAGACGACTGTGGTGTTATTGTTATGAGGAAGAACACCAACAACTTCTTCATTCGAGAAGGTGATTTTGGATTCTCCTTTTCTCCCCAGGATTTTAGTAGTGATGGCAGACACGATGTTTGATGTAAAAACCTGCCTGGCATACTTTCTGTTGGAGGAACTGGATTCTCATTCACCGGCGAAACCCCCGGCAATGTTGTTAACAATGATCTCAGAGTGTTGCTTAAACATACTTGTGAGAAGATGGTGACATCAACGATGGGTAAAGATGAGTGAGACCCAAATCAGTTTTACTGGGCCCATACAGTGGGCACCAATTGTACATGTAAAAAACACAATATATGACAATCACTAATGGTTAAAGGTTGTCAGAGACTTTAGGATACATTGTAGTGTTTAGAGCTAACTCACGGAGGGAGGTGAGAAACTTTGTGTATCTAATATTTATGTGAAAGTCAGATTATTCTTACTCAACTTTAGAGTTGAGATATTTATAATTGTGTTACGTATGGATCTTAGGCCACTTAAAAATAACACCCACCACCGAGAAAATGCTGGAGTGGATAATTGATCCCTTTTATATTATAGAGGTGGTTAACTTTCATATCAGTTCTTCCTTATTCTTAATGAATAAGAACACATCACTTTCCCATTTTTCCATCCCGTTTTTTTTTTTTTTTCTATTTTAAAAATAAAATTATTATTACTTTTATATTTCTTAACGTTTTCTCTTTATGCATAAATTAGCAAACTTTAAATTTACTCTTAGATATTATTAGTTCCCTCTTGGGACAGGTGGTTAATTCACGTGGTTTGGTGCTTTTCATTTGAAAACGTTGAAATCCATGGTGCTCACACGCTCGAATCTTCCTCATACACGTGCGCTCAATCCCTCTTAAATCTTTCCCAAGCAGTTTCTTCTACCCACGACGTGCTCGCTCCACCGATAACAGTTGAGTTTCTATCCAAGCGGTTACCGATCACCGGAAAACTTTTCCTAAAATTTGAAATCATCTCCGATGTCGGTGAGTTCTCTTTTTCTCTTAATTCGCATTCCTAGGTTAAGATTTCTGATGATCTTTTGCACGTGTACAGGGCATTTTCATCTTCAAATATCAAAGATTTTTTCAAAAATTTTATGATATATTTGATTTTTTTTCTTATAACCTTTGTATTTTGATCGGTGACGTTTATTTAGCGTTTTGGATCTTAGGTTTAAATAGGTGTAATTGCTGAAATTACAGAGAATGTTTCCAATTGCTGTTATGTTACTTGTTTTGTGATTGATTGTTATGATCCTAAATTTGTTATCAAGGTTTAAAAGAACAATTGCTGGTTTAGATTATTTCAAGAAAATTGAATTGGGAACTATCTAAAACTGCTATTAATTTTTTTTGCTTATAGTTCCATTTTTAAATATTTGATTGAGTACCTTTTTTGGCATTTCCTTGGTATTTTTTTTTTATGTTTGAGGTTATGTAAATGGGATAATGATGGAATTGTCCATAGATTGTTTCCAAAGTCAGGGAAGTAATGATACTCTGATATCATCTGAAATTAAAAAAGGAGTTGTGTGGTTCCTTTGCTAGATTTGAATTTTAAAAGGATGTAATTGTATTACCCCTCTGGGTTATTAAAAAAATTCAAGCATTTGTAGAACTCTCCCTTAAAAAGTTAGCTATCAAAGCAAAATAGGAAGAATCAAACCATTTAAATACTCTACCGAGCAATTCACACTACTTGATGTGGGACCTGGACATATCATAATACCCAAATACCTATCGGTATTTAAGAGAGTCGTGTGCAACAAGCATTGATTTTGCTTTATTGATACTGGTCTTTTATATACAAATTTTTCGATTGAGGGTTTCTGGAAATGGAGTTAATTGGAAATAACAATAAATACTGAGTGGTGAGAAGTTGGAAGTGATAGATGACCTCTGTTGAAATTTGGAGAAAAATAGAGAAATGAAACTTTTTAACATTTTGGTGATATTTTCTTGTATTTAGTGATTTGATTATATTTTTTTCATTTCTTGTATATAGTGATGTATTATAACAAACAGAACAAAATCTTATTTGTAGTAATACTTGACTCGTGCTTCCGTAAGGGGGCGATATTGTGGAATATGAAAATAACTCCAAAGATATTACTCTAAGATATTCTAAAATATTGCAAGATAAGTTAAAGATATTGTGAGATATGTTTTAGATATTCTAGCAACTTTAAAATACTCTCAAAGGTGCAGTGTCCGCGGATCTGTTCCGTCCCGCCTGCACTTTAGTGTGGGACATGCTAAGGTTTTAGGCCCGCACCCTCAACTATACCCGCACTTTGGTGCGGGATGGACTAAGGTTTTAAAGGGGCTATGAAAATGTATGATCTTAGCCATATGATAATCTTGAGGTTTTTGCCTCCTCTTTTTTTTCCTTGATTTTTTCCCCTAAAAACACACACACAAACACTTCTATTTCTCGACTATTTTATGAAACTTTTAACTTGATAGTTGGTACGATCATTCTTGTCCCTGTTTTCCTGAGATTTTATAAATTTACAAGTAGTAGTATGAGAAGCAATTGTACGTGCCATTATAATGTACTAACAAGAAATACCATGAGGTGTATTTCCTTTGATAATCGGTATAGATGATACATATGCTTTGAAATCTTCTCACAATGAGGTTTCAAGAAATTTAATTCATATCCATATCCAGAGGTAGGTGCTTGTAGTTTTAGACCTTTAATAGTTGCACTCTTTTTTCTTCAGATAAAAACTGTTAAAGTCAGTGACGTTTCCTTGGGAGCAACCGAGCGGGACCTCCAGGAGTTCTTTTCTTTTTCTGGTGACATTCATTATGTTGAACTACGGGGGTAAGTTACTGCACTTGGTTTTGAACAACCACTTCTGTTAGAGTGCTTTCATTTATTATTTTGTTATATAATTCCTAATTTTATATATCGATACAGTCATGATGAACGATCTCAAATTGCTTACGTTACCTTCAAGGATTCACAGGGGGCTGAAACTGCAGTCTTGCTATCGGTAATCCAATTATGCGGAATTAAGTGACATTTATTATAGCAGTTTTACTAAATTATCTTTATTCACTATTGGAATATTAACTGTGGTCTTTAATGCATAGTGGAGTATAATAGGGACTGATGCAAGTCATTTTTGTCTTATTTGCGGGCAAAACCGAATACATAATTTGATATATTAGCTTTATGCTCAATACATTTTAACAACCAATTGTCCTAAAAAAATCATTATTGGGTTCAAGTTAGAACTATCAAATTTGTAATTATTGTTCTCATAAATCATTATACAGAGTGCAATTTATAACTACATGATTGTATTATTGTCCATAATGGATTACTTTGAGCTGGAATATTCAGCCTTTTGGAAACGTAATACAGTTTTAATGAGTTACAAACAAAAAAACTTTATATTTTCCATTCATGAAGTCTTCACAAAAAGAGACCGGTGAAACACTTTTTAATAAGAGTGTAAGTCATGCATGTTGTATTGACTACTATGTTGCATATTGCTAGAAAATTATCTCTTTTCTGCTTTGGATAGAAACATCCCCTAACAGTGGAACTATGTAGAATTTCAATCTTCCTTCGGTATAAGATTGAATATAAATGGAGGAGTGTGGTAGTTTATTGTACTATCTTACCGATGCTAATCTGATCTTTTCGTGCACTAGCTATTTTCTTCTAGGTGGGGTTATCTTTTGTAGTAATTGGAAAGAATAGCTTTTACCCATAGTATGTGATGTAGTACATGTCTCTGGTTGTATTATTGTAATGATTGGATGCAGTTATATGGGTTTAGGTGTTCTGTTTCTCTGTTGTGACTAAGTTTGTCTAAGCTGCAATGTGTACAATCAAACATAACACAGTTTCACTTTCACATGTTTCAGGGAGCAACAATAGTTGACCTGTCGGTTACAATAACTCTCGATCCAGATTACCAGCTTCCACCTGGTGCTTTGGTTTCATCTGTGAGTCGGGCTTTGACGTTCTAGTTTTATATTTTCTTATCCTATGTAAGTAGGCTGTTCCGGTCTTACAACTATGTAAAATTTTACAGGTAAATGAAAATCAAACTCCTGGTGGTGCTGAATCTGCCTTGCGGAAGGCAGAGGATGTAGTCTCCAGCATGGTAGCCAAAGGCTTTGTCTTAGGGAAAGATGCTGTCAACAAAGCAAAGGCTTTTGATGAGAAGCTCCAGTTATCATCAACGGCCTCGGCAACAGTTGCATCTTTTGACCAAAAACTTGGGCTTAGTGAGAAAATAGGAGCTGGTGCTACAGTTGTGAGTGATAAAGTTCGAGAAGTGGATCAAAAGTTTCTTGTTTCGGAAAAGACAAAATCAGCATTTACAGCTGCAGAACAGACAGTCAGTAGTGCTGGTTCTGCCATAATGAAGAATCGCTACATACTTACTGGGGCCACTTGGGTAACAGGTGCTTTTAGTAGGGTTTCTAAGGCAGCTGTGGAAGTAGGTCAGAAAACAAAAGAGAAAGTGGAGAGTGCAGAACAACAAGAGAAGAAACGGGTTGATGACGATCAGTATGCACATGTGCAGCCCCCAAAAGCAGCAGCTACAAGTGAGCCGAAGTCTCCCAAGTCTGGTCCTGCTCCTGCTCAGGGTCTGATCCTTTGATTTGCTGCTTCCGTATATATTTATCTTTTTTGAAACTCCTGCAGACTGTTTCAGACCATCACAAATTTGTTTTTTACAGATTGGATGTGAATGTAGGATAGGTTGTTTCCAGTTACATGAACCAATATGCTATTTAATTTTCTTTTGTAAGATAAACTGCATTTCCTAGGTGTTAAATCATAATTTCTCATATTCTCTTTGGTGGTAGTTATTAACTTGGCTCAGCTGTCATAGGGGGGTTGACATGGTAGTTATTGCATGTATAGCTTATTTATCTAAGCATACTCAATGCTTCAACCGGGGTTCAATCAACTCTTGCACTACTCATTAATGGGAATTTACTCACTTTGCCCATTTTGAATTTTTTACGTAATCAGAGCTCAAATGTAGGGCTTTGGTTGCCATCCAGTTTTTTCTTAAACATTCTTTGTCTCCAACCTCTGCTAACCAGGGCTACCCGTCTAATTGGTTCTACCTTCATCAAGGTGATAATAATTCTTTACCCCATGTTTCTTTTTCCATGGGACGTAAAGAATTACAGTGTTTGGGCTAGTGCAATGTATTTGCTTTGGTCTGGAGTAAACTCCAGTTTGGAGCCATGCCTAGTCTCAAACTTCCTGTACAAACCTTGAACCTGTTGCAACATTATGGTGATGTCTTTGATCTAGTCTAAAATGTCAAAATCTATTATGCCAAATTTTTGTCATTAGTTGCAACCGGAACTCAATCTGGTCCAACATTTTTCAACTTTGAAGGCAAGAAAACTTCTAACATGCTCCCAAATTTAAGGGAGGGGATTAAGTGACTTTACTGTTGTTGTGAGTTTAGTGTATTTAAGAGAGAAATGCATAATTAAAATTTAAGAGAGAAATGCATAATTAAAATACTGTTATTTATTAAGAGAGAAAAATTGATTTAGAGTGAGATTGAGTGAAAAACCAAAGTTATCAATAGTCGGAGAGAAAGATTGATTAAGAGTGAGATAAAGTGAAATAGTCAAAGTCACTGAATCCTGGTCTCTAAATTTAAGTGTCCATTATATGGACACTTTATAAAAAAAAGTTTTTTAAAAATATATGAATTTCCTTGACATTTAAAGATTTTCTCTTTTTTTATTTTTTTATTTTTTCTATTAACTTGGATAGTCAAGTGATTTATTATTATTATTATTATTATTGTTATTATTATTATTAATATCACATTGACATTTTATTTTATATTAATTTTTAATTAATATGAGAAAACATGTTGTAGTCGAAAAAGTTAAATGGAGGTGGAAATTGAACCACGCCCTATCCACTAGACTAGCCGTTTACATCTGTATTATAAATGCTTGAAATAGTTCTTATAGTATGTACTTGCAATAAATAAATAAAATGAACTTTAATATATTTACTTAAATAATTGACAATGTTATAATATGCATTTACTGTATATTTATTTAAAAAATTGACACTGTCAAATAATTAATATGTTTTAAATAAAATTTATGTGTAAAAATTAAATTAATAATTAAAAATTTAAATTTAAATTTTTTGTGAAAATCAATTTTAAAAGAAAAATGAATTATACCCAAGAATAATTAAACATGTCAAAATCAATTATATATTTTAAAATCAATTTTACTTTTTTTTAAATGTTAACCAAGCATATGCATTTAAATATATACTTTTCGTTTTGAAATAAATCTCTTTTAAAAATTTTATATACAAAATAATATTTTTCATAACTATTATTATAAATAAATATTAAATGTATTAATTATTTTTTCCCCAAAGTTTCATACATTGAAATATTTGCTAAAAAATACATTGAAATTAATATATAATAATCAACTATATGTTACAATTATTAACTAATTTGATTAATATTTAATATTTAGTTAAATATAAACTACAACTATATACTACATTGAAATATTTAATTAGAGCTATTAAAATACTATAATACTAAAATTATTAACTATATATAATTATTAATTAATTTGATTAAATACTGAAATATTTGTAATATTACAGTAATATTAACTAATTTTATTAACAATTATTAACTAATTTAATTAATATTTAATATTTAATTAAATATAAACTACAACTATATAGTACATTGAAATATTTAATGACAATAATTAAAATAATTAAATTATTAACTATACACTATAATTATTAACTAATTTTATTAAATAATGAAATAATAATAATAATATTATTAACTAATTTGAAATTAATATACTAAAAGACTATAAGAATAATTAATACGTTTTGATCTTACCGAATTAGAATGGACCGTTACAGCTAGCTCGGACAGAAGTTGAATAAGATGGGGGTACCTGCAAGGCACTCTGATGGCAAAATAAGTTGCGGAATGAGCAAGCAAGTGTAAGAGTTAGAAAGTGTTGAATATCTGACCCTCTCAGAAGAAAGAGTATTTATAGCCCCCAGCGTTGGGCCAAGGTTCTCATTATTGGGCCACGTTGAGGCCCAATAACAGGAATTTCCAGGACTTACGTGTGTATGTAGTACAGCAAGTGGACTCCCCCTGGTCAACTGCTCCGCGAGAATAGGGTTGAACCCGTGATTCCCGGAGGGCAGTTTAAGATGATTGTTGTGAGATCGTGGGCCACGTCCTCCAGCGGACGTGTGGGGAGTTGCCCAATGGTCCCTAACTTGGGTTGTCTGTTTTTGGGCTTCCTATTCGAAGGACAAGTGTGGGCCCAATCCAGATCAGGAGCCCCCCCCCCCCCCCCCCCCCCAAGTTATTGCCCTTGAGCGAAAGGGCGATGATTTGAGTTCAGCTCTCAGGGTCTGAGACTTAATCGAGGAGGACGGTCAGAGTCCTCTGAACGGAGCGAGTTATTGCCCGCCGGGGACAATCTGTTCCAGTGTGCCGGGGACCAAATGGCCGAACGAGTAGTGCGTTCGGTGGAGTTAGTCACTTGCTCGAGAGGACCGTATTACTTACGGGGAACCTCCACGAGATCTCTTCCGTCGTGCCTGTCTTCAAAGGTGTTGTTTAGGCGTCAAGCATTATCTCGTTTTAAGGTAGCTAACTGAATGTGCCCTCGCAGGCACCATACCGTCGAGTATTCCCTCGCAGGGGGTATCTGCTCTGCGCCTGTAAGGGAATTGCACCTTGGAGTCGGGGATATGCTCGTTGATCTAGGAGGGACACGTGGTTGACTGTTGAGCCATGTGGCTAATGCCTTGGGGTGCCACTCCTCAAAAGGGGAAACCCAAAAGGCCCAATCAAATGATGACCTTTCGCGAGGGACCTCGTGGGACGTGGGTCACCTATAAAAAGGGGGGCCCTGGGTCTCATTTGTCATCTTCTCAAGTTTCCTTTCAACTTCTCTTGCTCATTGTGTGAAGCAATCCTCCCAACTTTCCAGGTTGTTACAACCTCTTAACACCACGTTTCTTCAGCATTTCTGAATTAAATGTCTAAAATATGCCTTGATTGGATGAACATTTATGAGTTCTATGATGAACACTCATGAATGTTCATTGAAGTTCATGACTTCTGCATCGAATACTCATGAATGTTCATTGACATTCACTAGTTATGGTGTCGGGGGAATCTCCCCGAATAGTGGCCGTAACATAGGGGACGTTTTCCCCCGATAACAGGGATTATCTTGGGCTTCTTGCTCGGTGAGTGATCATCCCCCCCGACAATGTGATCTCCCAACGAAATAGTCTGCTTTATCGTGTAGTCGAGGGCTTGGGTGAGTTCGTCTCCCTTTCACTTAATCTGCAGTGAAAGGGTGGATTTGATAATGTCGAATTCACTATTTCCCCCTGCTTTTTAGGTATAATGGCGCACTCAGTCGGGGACGATATTCTGGCCGCCAATTATGAAGACGAGCCACACAGCGACGAGGACCCTTTGGCTTGGGTTGCTCCTGAGCCCCGAAATAAACGGTCGTTCTTTTCTCAAGACGCAACGAACGCGTTCAATTGTCCGGAGGTACGAGCGAAGGGGGACCCCGCCAACTGGATGCTCCAAATTCCCCACCGTGACCGAAGAATATGCTCAACGTACCCGAGAAAACGGTTCCCTATGTATGAATTTTCATTTAAAGAGGCGGGGATGCACTTTCCCTTCAATGATTTTCAAGTCGGGGTTTTTCAGTGGCTTCAATTGGCGCCCTTTCAACTCCACCCGAACGTGCTGGCATTTATGCGAGCGTTCGAGCTCGTATGCCAGTATTTGAGGATAGGTGCCACACTGCCCCTCTTTTTCCGTATCTTTCACCTCCAAAGACAATCTGTCGGAGAGGAGCAGGCGTGGGTTTCGTTTAAGCAATTCGAGAAGCTCTTTAGGCCTTACCTAGAGTCTGTCCGGAATTTCAAAGAGAGGTATTTCATTGTGAAGCCCCTGACGGACACGACCATAGATTCCCTGTATACTCGCGTGGAAGAGGTGGAGGATGGGAGGCCAGTTATCCGGCTCGTGTCCAGATTTCCACTCGAGTGGCAGTGGAAGCACTTCGAACAAAGGCCCGAATATTACGTTGTGAAACCCGAGGACCTACACGCTCAAGACCAGCTTTCGCATAAGAATCAGTCGACCTATGTCAAGAGTTTATCCCCCGCGAAGTGCGTGGATGTGAACAACAACCTCTTGTTTGACGACGAGGGGGAGTATCTTTTAGTCAATAGGTTGGTCAACACAAAGGCCTTGCTCGAATGCTCCTCAAACGGGGAAGCCATGAGGCTTTTAGGTAGGGGACGTAGCCTAATTAATTTTTCTCCTCTTTATGCGGGAAAGTGCTCGCGCTATTTTTCATTTTCTAACCTGACTAATGGTTCCTTTTGATTGCAGGTCAAATGGCTTCCCTTTTTGTGCGTCTGTTGAAGTTGAGGCCCAAGAACACGTCCACCTCTGGGCCAAAAAGGAGTCACCAAGCTTCAGGAACAGGCCAAATCTGTGGGTCGTTCCAGTGGTTCCCCCTCCTCATCAAAAAATCTGGTTTCCTCTGGCGAGCCCGTCCAGATTCC